CATCCCAATCAGCCTCATTATATTTCACTGACTAAAGCACATTCGTTTTTATCATCTGAAAAAGAAAACTGCGTGTTACATAAGGGAAGTAGACGGATATCATGTTAGAGTTGATGAAGGAATTCACGTCATCCAGAAGTTTTTCAAATTTCACAGGTCAAAAACCTTTGGGGTTCATGGTGTCCTAGATGAAATCTTATATCTAAATATCACCCAGAAGATGCCTCAATCTCACTTATCAGCATTGATTTTCTGAGATGTGTTCTTGCTCATTTGGGAAAAATAAGCTAAATTGGTGTTGCAGGAATCAAACACTTTATTTTGGGGCCAAGCTCAAGACTGGAATTTGAATCCTCCAAACCCTAAAATTACTCTTAAATGGGCTGGATTCTCTACGTAAGGGGCTGCAGTTAATAAGTAGAAAAGAGAAGAATAAGGCCTAAAATATAAAACCATAAAAATAGGTGCTAAAATATCACACACCGTGTAAAAGATGGACATGGGCACACATGCACACGTGCACATTAGAAAAGGTGGTACATTAAAACTCATTTAGAAAATTACGCCGGAGTTATTTTTATTCAAAATCACAAAAATAACGAAAATAATTATTTATAATATTTCATGATGCTGCAGTTCAACTTAGTCACAATTCAGCTTTTTCAGTAAATGATACCCATAAGACTGGCAATACTTTTTTTTTTTTTTTTTTAATCGAATCACCCTTTACAAAAGGCCACAAACTCTTCAAGGGTATGGCAGTATTGTAGGTAAAAACTAGACTTGATCGGTTGCCCAAATAAAAAAAATCATTTCATTTTTTGGTCATAGGTAGAATTGTATCATTTTCACTTAGAATACCATAACATTTTTATAAAAGCACTCTAAGGCAAAAAATGCTTAGCTTTCAAAATGTCGGTTAAAATACTTCTTCTTCATTCTCCTCTTAGGCATTTCTTGACTATCTTGATGACTCCACCTTCATGGACTCTGCCCTAGAGGAGGCAGGCACCCTTTTCATACTGCCACCTTCTTATGGATGTCAGACTACTCCACCCATCCCCCCATCTAGCCTCTACGTGGCCACCAGAGGGTCTTCTACACGCAAGGTTGGTCATGCCACCATTCCACTCCCCCACTCAATGGCCTCCCATCGCCCACAGAATAAAGCTAGGCATTGGCATGACTTACAAAGCTGCTCATGCCAAGGGCACTGTACGAGCCTGAATCCCCCAAAAGCAAAGCCTAGGTCAAGGATGTGGATACTGGGAGTTTAAAGTCAGGGGAAAGAGACAACGAGACTGGAAAGGAGAGAAGCCAACGAAGAGTGCATTGCTGAGCTGGTCATAGATGTGGTGTCCCTCCAAAAGACAGGAGGGGGTTGTCTGTCATTAACTCTTATCCCCCATTAGATGAGGATGTGGCTGCTCAGCAGCATTAATTCCCACCCGACCCACACTTCCAGGCTGAGCCAGTTCCTTAGCTTCAAGAAAAGTCGTAAAGCTGAAAAACTGGGAGACACCACGGGGGCTTGGGGGTTTGCATCTACAGCATGGGAAGGCCAAAGAGGTGTGGCGCTGGGCACGATAGCATCTGCTCCCCCTCCTTCTCTCTCCCACTCCCGCCCCGCCACACACAAATGACATTTTATTCACGTCGCAGCACCCCCCCGGGTAGTCCATGTTCTCTCCAGACCTTCCCACCTGCACCCTTCATTCTGCTAAGAATGCCTTTTATCCACTTGCTACTCAACCTTCAAACCTCAGGTGAAGTAGCACCTGCTCTGTAAGCCTTTCTAGAATTTCCTTAGGAAAAATTCTGCTATTCTGCACCTCTGTCCAAACCTTCCTCATAGTAATTTCATGTTGACTCATAATCATCTGTGCCCATCTCTGTCACTCCGTTAAGCTGTAAGCTTCTTGAGGGCATGGCCATTTTTTTCAAACCTGCTTTCCAATTTCCAGTATAGAACCTAGCAGAACCTCCAAGTATAGAACATCCAAGAACGTTGATGAAAAAATACACGATGAATGAGGGAACAAATAACATACATGGATACATGGGTCTCACACCTCTTTGGTAGAAGTTCAGCCCAATTACCTTCTCGATCTTTGGATAATTAAAGTTTTCAACAGGAAACAATGTGTTGCTTAAGATAACAAATGTTTGGCCTACATACCAAAACCAAAAACAGGTTAATAAACAGCAAATAGTCTAATGAGTAATTTATCTTTGCAAAGAACTTCTCTAACACCAGCGATGCCATTGAATTACATAATTCAGACATATTATACATAATGTATCTGTTTTGCCTAATATTTAGTACTCATCTTGTTTAAGCCATTGTGCCAGGTGCATTTGTGGTTTATTGTTTACAGAAGGCAACTTTGTAACAACAAAAGTAGGAAGCCTAATTTTGTGGAGATAGGTTCTAGCTGAGAGCATAGTCTCACCTGACTGTGAAGAACCAATAGGTAGAACTTTGAGGTACAGAATTCACTTCATCCCATAGCTAAGGAAACTGAGACTAAATCCAGCATGTGCAGGATTTTAGGGCAAGCACATGCAATCTCCAGCAACCGTGAACTCAGTATCAAGGCATTAGGGTTCCATGGGCTGACTGGACATCTACCCAGGCACCCTTCCCTGCAGGACCACTCATGATGCACTTGACAGCCAAAGTTCTGTGAAATTTTGGAACTCAACTCTGCCACAGCTAAGGGCTGCCGGTACTTTTGGGAAGAGAGTCATTAACGATTAATCAGAACTGTAGAATACAAGAATAATCATGAACATGGCAATGTGCATTATCCCAGAGGACCTCAGGCTAGATGTAAGCTTAGGGATATTTGGAAAGCAAATTTGTTTAACTATACCAGAATAATATATGATTCCAGGTGTTAAATGAGTTTATGATTAGGATGGTTTTTGATATATAGACTTTCCGAGTAGAGGCTGGAATTATTTCATACTTATCGGGAGGTAGTATGTTGTATTAAGTCATATTGGGGGCAATATGATGTGTTGGGAAAGGGGATTTCCTATCAGTTTTCCATTCCCTGACCTTAATGCCAAGTCCTACCCATCACTTATCATCTTTGGGACTGTGAGCATTTCTGAATTTGAGCCTTGACTTTTTTGTACGATATAGCTAATAATAGCTATATCTAAAAATTATTATGAAAAATAAATGACTTGACACATACAAAACATATAGCACGGTACATAAAGTCACTTTAAAAAGTGTTTTTCTTGCAGCATTATTCACAAAAGCCAACATATGGAAACAACGTAAGTATCTGTCAACAGGTGACTGGATAAAGAAGATGTGATAAGTACATATAGATAGATGATAGATAAACAGACAGATAGACAGGGTGGAATATTATTCAGCCATGAGGAACTAGAACATCCTGCCATTGGAGACAACGTGGAAGCATATTGAGGGCATCATTCTAAGTGGAATAAGTCAGACGAAGACGAATACTGGATGATATCACTTATACAGCGGGTCTTCAAGGATGTTGTTTCATTCAATGTCATTTTGTTACAACACTGATGAAAAAAAAATCGATTCCTGGCCAGGACTCTGTCTGTGTGGAGTTCACACATTCTCCCCACATCTGCGTGCGTTTCCTCCAGAGACTCTGGTTTCCTCCTACATCCCAGAGATGTGTACGTCAGGTTAACTGATGTACCGAAATTGTCCCAGTCCAAGTGAATGCAGGAGTGGCCCTGTGATGAATGGCATCCTGTCCACAATGGGTCCCACCCTGAGCTCTGAGCTGCCGGGAGAGGCTCAGGCCATCCACAGCCCCGGACTAGAGTGAAAGGGTTAGAAAATAATTCTCTTTCTTAATTTTATTAATCTTTCTTAAATGTGTGTATAGCTCACATTTACTTCAAAGTTTAACACAGAAGCGTTTGGAGTCTTTATTTAGAAGTTTGGTGATGTTTCTGTGATCAGAAATGTGCTGTAGAAGCTTAACTCTAGTTTACATCAATTAGCCTTTGGGAAAATTGGTTTTATTATATGTCATGTCACTTAAAGTCTCAGTTTCCAAGAAGCTATTGTCGAGGTTAAGTGAGGACTTACTGTATATGGAAGCTAAAACAGCTGAGCTCATAGAAACACAGAGTGGGGATTACCAGGGGGGGTGGGGGAAATGTACCCGTCAAAGGTACAAACTTCCAGTTATAAGATGAGCAAGTCTGGGGATCTAATGGACAGCATGGTGATTATAGCTAATATTACTATATCATATATTTAAATGCTGCCAAGAGAGTAGATCCTAAATGTTCTCACCACAAAAAAGAAATGGTCACTCTGTGACAAGATGGAGGCGGTAGCAAACGCTGTGCTGGCAATCATTTTACAATATGTAAATACACTAAATCAATACATAGTACGCCTTATACTTACACAATGTTATGTGTCAATATAACTCAATAAGGCTGGAAAAAATGTTTTTCTTCTCTGATCCATTAATATAATGGGGTGTCTCTAAAATGTACCCAATAATCAGTAAAGCAGCATTTCCTCCCATAAAAACATATATTAATGTATCCACGTTATTGTCCTCTTGGGGCATGTGAGTGTGTCACAACTAGTTAAATGTGTCGCTCAGCGCAACGCGGCTTGGCCGCTCCCCTACCTGTCATGGCTTTCATCAGGATTTGGATGCACGTGGTTTTCCCTGCCCCGCTAGGCCCTAGGGCCATCATCCCATGCCGCACACTCTGCGTTTCGAACAGCTGAATGACTTTCAGTTTCCAAGGAAGATGGTTGATTAAACCAGCTTCTTCGACCTGAAAACACACACACAAAAAAAAAGCCCCGCGTTGGGCCATATCATCGAGCTCAAGGTAAGCACAGGCGTGGAGATGGGGGGATGTGTTGAGAAACTGGGAGTTACCCTTTGATTGGTACAGAGTTTCAGTCTGGGAGGATGAGAAAAGTTCTAAAAATGGGTGGTTGGTGACAGTTGCACAGTCATGTGGCTGTATTTAATGCCACTGAACTGTCTACTTAAAAAGGCTAAAATGATCAATTTTATATTCTGTATTTTACTACAATAAAAATATGTTGCATAAAAGAATATAGATACATAGACAAAAAGCAAGCTGAATAGCATCAAATATTATGCCAAGCTAACAAGAAACATCTGCATTTGTCTTTAGGAAATGAACATATTTATATTAATATTTTATTGTACATACATCTTAGGAGCAACTTAAGAATAAAGACTTAAATATCAAAACGTATTTGAAACATTGAATTTAAAAGATGACATTTAATAACAGAAAATTTCTCGCATACCGGGTTGACTGAAATTCCAATTAAATTTCAAGCTATCTTTATAAATTTATCTATTAAATATCTATATGGAAGTTACTCTGTGTCAAATCATTCAAAATTTAATTTTCATAAAAACACTATAAGGTTGGTACTACTGATATCTTCATTTATAGATTAGGAAACTGAGGCACAGAAAGACTAAGCAATTTTCCCAAGATTATTGCTTATAAAGTTATAGAGCTGGGATGTGAACCTATAAAATTCAGCTCCACAGTCCATGCTCTTAACCACTATGCGATGCTTAAATCCACTGAGTGAAGCCTTACTTTTGCTTAAATTATTTTCGGAGAATAATCATATATTACTTTATGCAATGTATATGCGCTTCAGATTTTTCATATGCTACAAGTTACTAACGTAAGTCACCGTATAAATTGCTTTATATTTAGCTTTCTAGGTAATGCTACAATTAATGTAGCCACATGATGAAGAAACCATTTGCAAAATGAATTATCACTCTTACCTGATAAGGAAGGAGATTAACTCTTATATACTGACTTTTAAAAAAGCAAAATATCCATTTAATACTATCATATTTGATTTTATTGCAAATATCTTCGAGGAACGGAAATAAATTTTATAAATATGGGCTAAGCACCATTTCTGTACATTTTTCTCAAACTCTTCTTTATAGGAAAGGAAATTAAGGCACGAGATCTACGTAATTAATTTCCATTCCTAGGAAGACTATAAAAAGTTAAAGCTGCACCAAGTATCATGGGACATTCAGACACCTAATGGTACACATAGCCTGGTAACCCTCAGAGCCCAAGAAAAAAAATCACAAGTGATCCTGGGGAGGAAGGGTGACAGCTGAGGAGCCACATGAAATCACTGCAAATGACACTCGGCAGCAGGAGCCTGGAGATCAAAGCAATGTGGCAAACAACCGGGATGGCAGACAGAGCCATGCCCAGCATGAGCAAGGCCACCAGCTGAGCACCACCAGCCCCTGCTGACTCATCACATTTCATTCGGGAATCTGGCGTGGAACGGTTTCCACCAATGACAGGGCCACTAGCGCATGGCCAACTGGACGTGGTTATGGGATATCAGGGGACCCCCAGAAGGAGGTGCACGATCACTGCTGTGCAATGGCTTCCCTTAAAACTGTAGTCACAGCCTCAGGTGCTGTCTTTGGAACTCACAGATCTGGGCCCCATTTGATTCCAATTAAATGCAGATGAAACAGACACGGTGCTTGATGCCCGTGAAATGCATTACCTGTCTACTGATCGCCGACTCCAGTTCAGGGTAACCTGCCTTGTCCAGCAGAATGTTTGGGAAGAGATCTTCAATCAAACTTAAAAATAAAGGTTCATCCTCATCAATCTTAAAAAGAAAGTGAAATCAGACCAACTATTTTGGCACAAACAACATCCAGGTAAACTGAAAATGCCCAGCAGAGCCCAGCTCATTTCATTACCGCCATTAGTAAATAAAATATCACTTTCTTTGAAGTTAAGGAATGTTTCCATGGTGTTTCTCATAAATTAAAAATTATTTAAAAAAAAAAGATTTATTAATCTTTCTTTTAAAAGATTAAAAGGGAGGAAGAAGAAAGAAGGGAAAAGAAAGGAAAGAAAATATTGCCTACTTGACAACCCTTCCACGAAATAACCAGTTTTGAGAGTTGTTACCTAGTCTATAATGTCTCATTTAAATTAAAATAAATTTTTAAATGGCGGTGGCAAATTTATAGATTAGAACTGAATACATGCTTTTATTTCAAAATAAAATCTGTCACACTATATATAGATCCCTGATACTAGACAGTTGCTTATCAATCTCTCCTATGAAATGATTATGCACTTGTCAAATTTATATACGATTTCGTGCCAGGCTCTACAGACTTTAAAGAAGATGAGATCTTTAGCTCTAAAACACAAAACTGATTCAAGGTATCTGAAAACTTAACGTGTGGATTTTTAAAAATCCATTTCAATTTAATGGGGATAGGCACACGTAAGATTAGATGTGAGTTACCACAAAAAGGACTTCTGAAAAAGTACAGTTTAAAATTGTGCTCTCTGGTGCTTTTTCTGATAATTAAACATATTAAAGATGAGCCTATTAAATAAATATTTCTATGCCTCGTTTGTGCTTAGTTAGTCGAACTGACATTTAAGTGGGTGGAACATTTCCATCTGTGAATCTCACCAGTTTAGAAAGATTCATGTCTCGTAGGACACGCATGACGATCGTGGACTCTGTATCCATGGGGCTGGCTCTTTTTGCTGCCCCCAGCGTTCGCAGAACTGACAGGATATTACGAAGACCAAAGTCATAATGCACCTGGGAATTAGAAGTGCACCAGGCTTATTTTCGACATTCACTTACGCATGGAAACTATACAAAGTTGGCAGAAGACCTATTCGCGGTAACGAATAAATGCCGATTTTCCTTAAGAAAACTTGTACAAACAGGGGACCGATACATTTTTTTAATCGATATATTTTTTTGGGCAAATAGAGACTACCCAAAAGAGTCATCTCCTGTATCATCAATTTAACTCCTTAAATCAGAACTAATAGATATAATTTGACAGAGAGAAAGAAAGAAATTTCCTCTTAGAGTATACATAGCCCCCTGAGCTTCTTCTTAATCATCCATTAAAAAAAGTCCTCGTATCTCTAAAGCTAAAATTCTGAACCAGAATAAACTGAGACCTCCCTTTTGACTGCCATATAGATGTACTAATCAGTAAACAGATGGGAATATTGAGGAGGAGGAAAAGTAGCTACTTCTTACCTAGAGGGAGAAGAATAAGAACAAATCAGAAGCCAAGCCCCCAACTTCGTTATTCCCTTAACATATATTTACAAAAACTCAGTCATGCCAAATTTTAGCACACACAAAGTGAATAATTAAAAACCAATTATCCTACCACTATGGAAAACAATATGGCAGTTCCTCAAAAAATTAAAGATAGAACTATCATATGATCCAGTAATCTTACTTTTGGGTATGTGTCCAAAAAAATTGAAAGCAGGGTCTCAAAGCGATATATGTACACTCTTGTTCATAGCAACACTATTCATATAGCCAGAGGTAGAAATAACCCAAATGCCCATCAAAGGAGGAACAGATAAACAAAATGTGACACACACACACACACACACACACACACACACACACACACTGGAATGTTAACCACAAAAATAAGCAAATCTTGTCACACGCTCCATGGATGAAACTCAAAGACATTATGCTAAGTAAAAGGAGCCCCTCACAAAAAGACAAGTACTATATGAACCCACTTAGATGAGGTATCTAAAGTAGACAAATGCACAGAAACAGAAAGTAGAATGGTGGTTACCCAGGGCCGAGGGGAAGGGGAAGCGAGGAGCTGTTTAATGGGTACAGAGTATCAGTTTTGCAAGATCGTAAAGTTCTGGAGATCTGTCTCACAACACTGTGAAGAAACTTAACACTACTGAACTATACACTTAAAACGGTTCAGATGGTAAAATTAATGTTCTATGTTTTTACCACCAAAAAAAAAAAAACCACACAATTATCTGCTAAGGTAATTGAGAGCAATGCACTTCATTTAATACTAATCATTTGGAGAATAGAGCACAGAAAAATACCGAGATTGAGTTCCTACCTTCAACGAGTTTAAATTCTGATAGAGGCAATTAAATAAAAAAATGAGCAAACTTGCATTAAAAGTAATAATGACGGAAAGTGCTGGTGGATGGAATTAATCAAGGAAAACTTAGAATTGGACTCAGTTAAATCCATGAGCATGAAGTGAGATTCACACAACGTTCACCGAGAGACCAGCATGGGGCCAACTGTTTTGTACACATTGACTCACTTCATTATTCACAATGACCTTGTGAGGAAGGGCCGGAGGCGTGCAGGAAGAGGAACTAAAATACTGAGAGGAAAGGAGTCAGGGGTGCTGGAGTTTTTCAACATATGAAAAACAGCATGGAAAAATATTTCTTTGATAGAGATAAAGATAAGAATGAGTAAGAAAACTCTACGACGAACAGGAAAAAAAAAAAAAAAAAACAGGAATGGTGGTGGCAAAAAGCAAACGGTTAGGATCGGTCCGACCAGAACGCTCCCGGTCAGAAAGTTCTGTGTGTGAATAAACACGCACAGGGGAAGAACTCACGAGTGAGAACGCGATGGAGTGAAACCGGTGGGTAATAAAAATGAATCTAGATCCAAAGACATTTGGAATGGAGACCAGAGGGAAGAGAGAGTCAAAGCGTTACACATGTTAGGAGATGTTACTCATGGTATATTGTTCTATTTATTGCGAAGTATTATTATTGAGCATATGCTTTGAAAAATTTTTATTTATATGTCCTAGAAATCTGTGGTATAATCCTGGAGTTTGTGCCTTTGTATGATCTAGACCCCTTAAGTGTGGCCAGGACTGGTGATTTGCTTCTAACTAATAAAATATGGCCAAGGAGACAGGCTGTACATGATTACGTGTACATGATTATGCGGTCACATTATATAAGATTTGTGGTGGTTGATTTTATGTATCTACTTGACTGGGCCATGAAATGCCCAGATAGCTGATTAAACATTATTTCTGGAATCGTCTGTGAGGGTGTTTCTGGAAGAGATCGGCGTTTGAATTGGACTGAGCAAAGCAAGTGGCCTTCCCCAGTGTCGCAGGCACCGTCTAGCTTTTGAGGACCCAAGGAAAGTGGGATTCGCCCTCTGTCCACCTGACTGCTGAGCTGGGGTACCAATCTGCTCCTGCTCTCAGTGCTCTGGTCTTCCAGGCTTCAGATCTGGACTATAATCTACACCATCAATCCTTTGAATGACACCTCCAACATTCCTGGGTCTCTGGCTTACAGATGGCAGATCATGGGACCCTCAGCCTCCAAAACTGCATGAGCCAAAACCTTATAATAAATCTCTTTTATATACGCATATATATCCTACTGGTCCTGCTACTCTGGAGAATCCTGATGAATACAAGATGGGAGCACCTATCTCACAGGCTTTTTGCTGACTTTGAGAAAGCAAGTGGCCACGCTGGGGAAGCTCATGTAGCAAAGAACCGCACACAGCCTGTGGGAACTGAAGGTGGCCTCCTCTAGCCGACAGCCAGCAAGAAGCTGCATCCTCACTCATACGACCTCAAGAAACAGAACTCTGCCAACAACCTGGGTGAACCCAGAGCAGATCGTTCCCCAGTCAAGCATCAGATGAAACCGTAGCCCCAGCCAACGCCTGACTGCAGCCTGGTTAGACTGTCAGCAGGGGATACATCTAAGTTCTGCCAGGACTCCTGACCCACGGAAACTGTGGGATAATAAATGCGTATTGTTTTAAGCCAGTAATTTTGCTGTGACATTGTTATGCAGCAATAGATAATTAATATAGAAACGATAAATGGTTACTTCTGTGCCTCTCAATTCTGAAACCACGTGATGTCAGAACCTGCTACTCTAAACAGTGCAGGAAATTAGCAAGGAAGTTACAACAGAGAAGACAATTAGCAAAGCTTGGCCAAATACTTGAATGAGCTTGGAAGTGAGAAGAGTAAATGACTGAGAGGTTCCTGAAAACTACGAGGATACATAACAGTTATCGTGATGAAGGTACAAGTAGGTTAAAGAGAAAAAATTAATATCCATAATACTTCGGCTCTTAAATGAGTTCAGACAGTATTCGCTTCATTTCCATACCATAAATATTAATTCCTTTAAATGTACTTCTTAATAAACTATGCATATAAAATTATTTTTGTAATGATACCACCTTCTACCTTGTATCAATAAGGTATTTTATCAACAGCCCCAGTCTATGATTTTTCAAAATGAGGAAATTTCACTGAATAGAAAAACTGAAACATGCATAAGTAGATAGAGACCTTCAGAATGTCACACCTGCTTAGAAAGCTGCTCTTCACATAGCTTGTAGAGCGTGAAAAACTTCCTGGCCAAGACAACGTTATCGATGAAGCCACAGCTGGCCAGCTTCACCCTTATGATGATCTGACGGTCGGGCACCATCATGGCCACGGAGCGGAAGTTAACCTTCAAGTTTTCGGGGAGTTCCTGCCGCCCGGCATAGCCAGGGTTCTACACAGAAAACCAAGCCGAGGACAAAAGATACGATCATGAGACAGGGAGCACACATCAGCACGACAGTAAAAGATTCATTATGCACACGCCACAAATCTGGAATGACAGCCAGAGAATTCATTTACCTATCTCCCTCTCCTTCTCCCTGGAGAGCGTAAGTCATGAGTCATTAAAATCAACTCTGTTTAACGCCAAAGGCTTTCAAACAGAAGTGAAAATTAGAATCCCAGTTTCCATTCATAGACAGGAGGTGACATATAACCGAGGAGATGTATGAAAATTGTGGTAAGAAGGCTGAAATTCAGGAGATCTCCCTTACCATGGTTAGAAAAAGTCCAAATTCGGGATTCATAATCACGTGATCGCCATCGGTAAAAATGAAAGATGTTTTACGCTCTTTTTTACATGTCAAAATAATGGAAATTTGCTGGGCTGCAACTGAAAGAACTGGTAGATCGATACGATTAAATTCATCAAAACAACCCCAGGATCCAGACTGTGCCAGCCCTTAGAAAGGAAATTAAACAGAAAATCCAATTAGTGTGTAATTTTGGAAAGCCAAGGAAAAGGACATTATGCAGCTGCCAAGACAAGCCAGAGATAAGTCTATTCAAAAATAAAGTTGAACAAATAGATAGTACACAGACTGCCCCCAAAAGAGCTCACAATGTGGCACTTTATCTGTAAATAAGCAACCTATACTGATAAAGAAACATTACGAAAGGCAAATGATATTGACATTTCATCCACAGGACACTGGTAAGATTCAGGTTCTCTAAAAAGTTCTACGAAGTTGAACGATGACCTTAAAATGTAGCCAAATGTTGAGAAAAGAAATCTTAACGAGATAGTCTACCTTAACTGAAAGATCTCATCAAGTAAAAATTACACATGTAACCCGCACCTTTAAAAATCCGTCCCAGCCCTCGGAAATCCATCTGGTCCGAACAGTTGAAAACCACGACATACTTCCCAAGACATCGTCCCATATCTTTGGTGGTTTCTGTTTTGCCCGTTCCTGCAGGTCCAGCGGGGGCTCCTCCCATGCTCATTCCCAGAGCTTGAGCCAACGTGATGTAACACCTGAGGGTTAGAGACATCACAGGAACCGTGGATACTTCTGAGGCATCAAGTGAACTGAAACCCACGCAAGATTAAAAAACCGGAGATCCAGGTCATCGTCTCTACGTAACACTGCCAAAACCGCGTCCTAAAATACACTTATCCTTATGAATATTAACACGTGTTAAGATAAAAGGAAGGGGTGGGGTTGATGGTCAAATAAGTTTGAAAACTCTTTAAAAGGTTAAACGGCCTTTCTTAGGATGATGAAGGTTGGGAAATCTTCATGTACAAAAAGTAGTAATCAGCAATTCCAAAACTAATTTTGCAACTTTTTCACAGAAATCTACCATATCTACAGAATGGTACTCTAGCAAACAGACTGGGAACCACTAAAGTGGATTAATCCCTGTTTGGATCAAAGGGTTGGTAATCTGATGTGCTTGGGGACCAGTCCTTTCTTCCACTTGTGAGCGCAAGTGGAAAGACTGGAAGCATTCTCGCCACGTCTGTACTCCAGACAGAAGGCAGCAGAAGTCCAGAGGCTGATTTCTCATCTGCACAATAAGAAATGTAGAAGGTCCGACAACACGTGTGTTTCTCTGAAGTGTTCTCACAACTTGATGAGTCTTCCCTGAGTGCTGACCACTGGCCGCTGCCCTGAACGGCTGTGCAGTCCTGGCTAATCTCTCTGCCCTCTCAGAGTCCCTTCTGGATTCATCGTGCGGGCTAGAGGTAACATGTAGGTACCCGCATGGGGCCTGGCACCAAGCAAATGTTAATCATCATTACTGTGTGACTGCGACTGTTGTTTTTCTTAATCATTGAAAACACATTCTTTACCAACTTTTTCTTTCATGTCTCCTTAAGTGTATCTGATAATCAGAGGGTCTCTAACTAAACCAGTTCTTGATAAAGAAAAATATCTTTGTGACGCATGCACCACTGTTGCCCTAAGAAGCTGTCCAGCATTTTAGCATTGATGCTGTTTAAGAATCAGAACTGACAGCACTTCTGGCTTATGTGTGACGACATGTATATAGAGTGAAATAAATACTTAACACCGATGCTGACGAATTTGGCTAAATTGCATGCTAATGAGCTCTGGGTCATGGAGAGGGTCATCGTTCATTTCGTGCCAGTGGTCACGTTCTTTATCTCTGGTTCCGGCAGCTGTTGGGATGGGTGGAACCAGATAAGAGTGTAACGCTGGACTGGCACAAGCCACTTATTCAACAGATATTCCCAGGGTACCAGGTGCTAGGGGTTAGGCAAGTAGTTGGGGGTGTAAGTGTGAACTAGACCCAGTTCCTCGCAGCAGAGAGCTTATGGCTGTCTGGCGGGGAGGCAGAAAACTCTAATAGAGCTGCAAAAGGCCCCTAAATTATGTAAAAGTTTGAATCCAGTCACGGACGATGACGTTTTTTGAAAGCAACGAAGAAAGTGGAAAGAGGAGCAGAGGAGGGTGGCAGCGAGGCACATACACAAAGGATGCTCTGGGGAGAGTGTGCGCATGATGCAGACATGTCATGAAGACGCCCCGACAGGACCGTGCTTGCCTCTGGAAGGCACATCCTAGAGATTTATTCCTCCGTAGCTGCTCCCAGAAATAGATTTAAGACGTGATTATTTAGTAATGTGTGACTTAACTCTCTTGTGACCAGCATAAAATGGGGACTCACTTCTCCCATAATCATGGTAATTAAAGAAAAAGAAAACTAAGTGAACATTTAGGGTGAGACAGGCTGAAACAAACTTTAGAATCACCTCCACTTATATACTTATAAATACCTACTTTGTTTTTAAAGGTCTCGAGTTTTTTGATAAAGTTATACAAGATAATGAATATAGTGAAAAAATCAAGCTGCAGAAAAGTTTATATAGTTTGATACTTATAGTTAAAAAGAATTTTGACATATACACATTTGAAATTTCTAGGGCAGAAAATAGATTGTTAATCGTTTTTAAAAATAAAGAAAATTTTCCTCTCATGCTTTCAACTGTATGTCCTTTTGTGCTATTTAGACTTTTCACCACAAAGATGTAACTTTGAAAATGAACACTTCTTTCATTCATTCAGGAAATATTTATTTAGCATGTATTATGTGAAAATTATTATAGGAGCAATGAATAAACCACAGGCAGTCATGCCTCCAGAAGCTGGCATCCTAAAGAAAAGAAACAGATGATTTTAAAGTAGGAAACAGGAGAAGTATGCCGGTTAGGAGGGCTGCAGAGTGTGGGTACCGCTGCGTCAAATGTGGCGGGTCCAAAGACCCCTCTGAGCAAAGACTCGAGGAGGAGGCGAGGAAGCGAGCTATGACAGTATCGAAGGGCAAAGGTTTGGGGTCAAAGGAACCGCAAGTGCAAAGGCCCTGAGGCAGGTGGAGGTGTGCTGAGACCGTGCAAGGAACAACCGAGGAGCAAGCGGCTAGAGCTCAATGAGGGGCAGACAGAGATGTAGCAGAAACTAGATCAAGCCGGGCCTTGTAGGCTGGTGTGAGGACACTGGCTTTTACTCTGGTGAGATGGAAAGCCAGTGGGGAGATTGTGGCAAAGGCATGACGGGATGTGACTTATGTTCCAGTGTCTGAATTGAGAATAGACTGGACGGAGGGGGTGACAATGGCAGAAGCAGGTTGACCAGTTAGAAGACTGCTAACAATTATCCAGGCTAGCGAGCGACTCTGGTGGCTTGGACTGGCGTGATAACAGCGAAGGAGTGAGAAGTGGTCACATCCTAGATGAATTCTGAAAGCGGTGCTGACCGCCCTTGACAATAAATTGGATAATGAAATAAGAGAAAAGCAAAGGCCTCGAGGAGGCTCCGAGGGTTTGACTTAAGCAAGTGAAGGACGGAAATGTCGTTTGCTAAGATGGAGAAGATGACAAGAGGGTGGGTTCGTGGAGGACAATCAAAACTGTTCAGTATGAACTTCCCGTAAGCATCCAAGCAAACACGACACGGCGGCAAGTGGAATATTCATGTCCCGCCCCGGTGCAGTCTGGGGAGTCAACGTCTAATGATATTTAAAGCCTCGGGAGATGAGCGTAGATGAAGAGAAGAGTCCCGGGGTGTTCTGCGTTTAGGGGTCAGGAAGAATAAGGGAACCAGTAGGAGGGGGTGTGAAGGGATGGCAGGAACAGTGCCAGGAGCCAGCTGAGTGTGGCGTCCTGGAAGCCACAGGAAGAAAGCGTATCAAAAAAGAGGGCTCAACTGTGCAAATGCTGATGAGCTAAGGAAGGTGAGAATTGCAAATGACCGCTGGATTTAGCAACGTGAAGGTCTGGGTGACTGCTTTAGCAGAGAGGGGGAAGAAAGTGTGACTGGCAGAATAAGGGCCTCTCAACGTCATCCACGTTCTAATCCCTGGAGCCTCTAACTACATTACCTTACCTGGCTAAAGGGACTCTGCCGATGTGATTGACGTCAGAGGCCCTGTGATTATCCCGGATCACCTAGTGGATCTGATCTAATCTCAGGAGTCCTTAAAAGGGGAAGAGGGAGGCAGAAGAGCGAGTCAGAGATTTGAGACAGAAGGAGGAGGGGACCAAAAGCACAACCATAGTTGCTGGCTGTGACGATGGAGGGAGGGGTCCACACGCCAAGGAATGCTACGGCCTCTAGAAGTAGGGGGCAGCCCTCGGCTGACAGCCAGCAAGGAAAGTGGGGGCGTGGGTCCTGCAAATGCAAAGACAAGAATCCTGCCAGTGACAGAAAGACAGGAAACAGATTCTCCCCGTCC